AGCAATTAATGTTGCAATATTTTATCCTGTTTGACATGACCCAAATACTCAGTGAATTCTCTTCATTTAACTTAGTTTAAATTGTCAAAACCTGGAGAGACTGTTTTAGATATGCATTCACAAAATATAATCATTCCTGAGGAGTTTACACAAAAGCTCTTATCTCATGTACATTTCCTTAAAATTTCATCATATTGTTTTCCTTACAGACAGATTTGCAACAGACATAAGGTCTTATTTGATCTCTAGTAAATCTAGGTATACAACAGAAGTAGAAGTATCACACTTATCACTGATGACTCTAAAGACATATCTGTACTAATCAAACCAACAAGCTTAAATAGCTTCAATACCTGATATCGATTTAGTACTGAACATTTCCTAGGTCATGTGAACCTGAAATTGAAATTCATTCTAGCCAGATTCTTTTATACTTCTGAAAATTTATTTAAGTGCTTTAATTTCTTTTAAGCCATTTAAACAGAGCTCATCCAGAAACCAATCTTGGCCATGCCATTTGGAGACACAGACATGCCAAGACCAGTTTTAGAATGTCAAGAGTCCCATCTTGGGCATCTTCAGGGTTTTGTTTTTTTTTTTCCCCCAGTTTCTAAACAGCCAATTCAGTTAAAACAAATTAACAGTAATAGTAATACATATCACTCACATTCATATGCATCAGTTTCAGAGGAACATGAATCATCATTCAAGTTACTAGGACCTCTAACAAGGGTCAAAACCAGGGAGAGACAAGAGGACTTAGACTCGGGTACTGGGGACTCATGCGCACACCCAAGGTAAAAGCCAAACCAATTACAAAGGTTCAGTTTGATACAATGGCTGAGCCATTACTCTCCATACTTTCTTGGTGGTTCTCATTCATCAAAGACAGCCACTCCCAGGATTGCCCCCTGCAACTTTTGGGCCCCACACGCTAGTGGACAGTCCCCCCGACTTTCCATTGCCCATCCTCATTTCCCAGTGTCTGTGCTCGTGGGAGTTTCTTTCGTCTCCTTGCTGGCTCTGACAATTGTTGGGCTGTATGTTGCAGGCCTGCAAGCCCTATACCTATCCATCCTTGAGACTGAAGAAAGAGCCGAGAGTCAGCAACAGAGACCTCAGTGTCTTAATGGGTTCGGGGATCTTCCATGTTTGAAGCAAGGTCCTGGAGTGATACCCCACTGTGTGTGGCAGATGGCGGGCAGGACATGATGGCATGGGAAATTCTACCAGGCAAAAAAGAACTTATACCAATCCTTCTTCAACTCTTCCAAAAGACTGGAAAACTCCCATAGTCATTCTATGAAGCCATCATCACCCTAATACCAAAACCAGACAAAGACACTACCAAAAAAGAAAATTAGAGGCCAATATCTTTGATGAATATAGATGCACAAAGTTCTCAACAAAACATTAGCAAACCATATCTAATAGTACATAAAAAGGACCACACACTGTGATCTAGCTGTATTAGTCCCAGGGTCCCAAGGATGGCTCAACATGTGCAAGTCAGTCCATGTTTGATACAGTGCACCAACAAAAGACAAAAACTACATACCATTTCAATAGATGCAAAAAAAGCATTTGATAAAATTCAGCATACATTTATCATAAAAATTCTTACCAAAGTGGGTATCGAGGGAATATATCTCAACATAATAAAAGCCATTTATGACAAACAGCTAACATGATACTCTGATGAAAAGCTGAAAGCCTTCCTGCTAAAATCTGGAACAAGGGAAGGATCCTATTCTCACCACTTTTATTCACAACAGTACTGGAAATCCTAGCCACAGCCATCAGAAAACAAAAGGTATCCAAATTGGAAGGGAAGAGGTAAATTTGTCATTATTTGCAAATGGTATGATAATATATGTAGAAAATCCTGAAGACTCCACATGAAAAGTACTATAACTGATAGATGAATTCAGCAATGTAGCAGGACAGAAGATTAACATACAGAAATGAGTTGCATTTCTTTACACCAAGAGTGAAATAACAGAAAGGGAAAGTTTTTTTTTAAACATCCCTCTTAAAATCACATTAAAAAAATAGTTGGAAATACACCTGACCAAGGAGGTGAAAGATTTATATTCTAAGAACTATAAAACATTGATAAACTGAAAGATGATAAAACTGAAGATGATTAAAAGAAATAGATACCCCATGCTCTTGGATTGGAAGAATTAAAATTGTTAAAACTTTAGGCCATTGTACCCAAAGCAATCTACAGATTTAATGTGATCCCTATCAAATTACCCATGATATTTTTCACAGAAATAAAACAAATAATCCTAAAATTTATATGGAACCACAAAAGACCCTGAATTGCTGAAGCAATCCTGAGGAAAAAGAATAAAGCTGTAGGCATAACACTTTCAGCCTTCAGACAATACTATAAAGCTACAATAATCAAGACAGCCAGACATCCTGGAGTGCGAAGTCTAGTGGGCCTTAAGAAGCCCACCTGTGGCCACGGCTGAGTATTCCAAATTTGCTGGAAGCAATGCAGCACTTTCACAGCATCATCTCTCAGGATTTGAAATAGCTCAACTGGAATTCCATCACCTCCACTAGCTTTGTTCGTAGTGATGCTTTCTAAGGCCCACTTGACTTCACATTCCAGGATGTCTGGCTCTAGGTGAATGTGAGTGATCACACCATCATGATTATCTGGGTCGTGAAAATCTTTTTTGTACAGTTCTTCTGTGTATTCTTGCCACGTCTTAATATCTTCTGCTTCTGTTAGGTCCATACCACTTCTGTCCTTTATTGAGCCCATCTTTGCATGAAATGTTCTCTTGGTATCTCTAATTTTCTTGAAGAGATCTCTAGTCTTTCCCAATCTATCGTTTTCCTCTATTTCTTTGCATTGATTACTGAGGAAGGCTTTCTTATCTCTCCTTGCTATTCTTTGGAACTCTGCATTCAAATGGGAATATCTTTCCTTTTCTCCTTTGCTTTTTGCTTCTCTTCTTTTCACAGCTATTTGTAAGGCCTCCTCAAACAGTCATTTTGCTTTTTTTACACTTCTTTTTCTTGGGGATGGTTTTGATCCCTGTACAATGTCACAAACCTCCATCCATAGTTCATCAAGCACTCGGTCTATAAGATCTAGACCCTTAAATCTATTTCTCACTTCCACTGTATAATCGTAAGAGATTTGATTTAGGTCATACCTGAATGATCTAGTGGTTTTCCCTACTTTTTTGTTTAAGTCTGAATTTGGCAATAAGGAATTTATGATCTGAGCCACAGTCAGCTCCCAGTCTTGTTTTTGCTGACTGTATAGAGCTTCTCCAACTTCGACTGCAAAGAATATAAACAATCTGATTTCAGTGTTGGCCATCTGGTGATGTCCATGTGTAGAGTCTTCTCTTGTGCTGTTGGAAGAGGGTGTTTGCTATGACCAGTGTGTTTTCTTGGCAAAACTCTATTAGCCTTTGCCCTGCTTCATTCTGTACTCCAAGGCCAAATTTGCCTGTTACTCCAGGTGTTTCTTGACTTCCTACTTTTGCATTCCAGTCCCCTATAATGAAAAGGACATCTTTTGGGAGTGTTAGTTCTAAAAGGTCTTGTAGGTCTTCACAGAACGATTCAACTTCAGCTTCTTCAGCGTTACTGCTCGGGGCATAGGCTTGGATTACCATGATACTGAATGGTTTGCCTTGGAAACAAACAGGGATCATTGTGTCATTTTTGAGATTGCATCCAAGTACTGCATTTCAGACTCTTTTGTTGACCATGATGGCTACTCCATTTCTTCTAAGGGATTCCTGCCCACAGTAGTAGATATAATGGTCATCTGAGTTAAATTCACCCATTCCAGTCCATGTTAGTTCACTGATTCCTAGAATGTTGATGTTCACTCTTGCCATCTCCTGTCTGACTGGCCAATTTGCCTTGATTCATGGACCTAACATTCCAGGTTCTTATGCAATATTGCTCTTTACAACATCGGACCTTGCTTCTATCACCAGTCCCATCCACAACTGGGTGTTGTCTTTGCTTTGGTTCCATCCCTTCATTCTTTTTGGAGCTATTTCTCCACTGATCTCCAGTAGCATATTGGGCATGTCCAAGGTCAGAGGCGGTGGCTGAGAGGAGCTACCCCACGTCCAACGTAAGGAGCAGCAGCTGTGCTTTGCTGGAGCAGCTGTGAAGAGATACCCCACGTCCAAGGTAAGCGAAACCCAAGCCAGCTAAAACTGCTTAAGTCTCCTCTGTTTTGTTGCTAAGGGTGTCCTCTGTTTGTACCTATGCAATCAGATCTTAGCATACAAATGCAGAAAATTAGATTCATCTTTATTAACTTTCATAATCTTAGTCTGTCTCTTAGTGGTTCCGACTGTAAAGTGTCTGCCTACAACGTGGGAGACCTGGGTTCAATCCCCGGGTCGGGAAGATCTCCTGGAGAAGGAAATGGCAACCCACTCCAGTATTCTTGCCTGAAAAAATCTCATGGACGGAGGAACCTGGTAGACCATAGTCCATGGGGTTGCAAAGAGTAAGACATGACTGAGCAACTTCGCTTTCAGTTTTTAACTATTAGAAGCAATCTTCAGTAGAGATTTTTTAAAATCCTATTGTCATTCTATATATTAGCAAGTGATAAGAGAATCTTATATCCCAACTAGCACAAAAAGACTTTCCTTCAAGCCTCAGGTTTTCACTGCCATGGCATGATTGTGGGGGGCCTTCTCAGGTGGCTCAGTGGGCATGATCACGAATATTTTCACAATTAGACGTTTTCTCAGCTCACACCTTAAGTAAAGATCCTCTGGCAGGGTAGAAGGGGTGCTTAATACCTGTGGCCCCTCACTCATTAGGTAGGAACAGGATACTTATATTTTAGATAAAGACTCTAAAAGAATTCAATGATAGAGTCAGGGTTAGGTACGAGGCTCACGCCAGCTAAGATTTTATTTAAGAAAAAAAAATGTAACTGAAAATAAAAGTCACTCAAAATGAATGAGAGTTTCAAAAAACCCTATAATTCTTCAGTGGCAGCTCTTGCACCCGCCGCTCAAGCCGGTTCTAACCCAACCAAGATGCTGGAAGGCCGAGCACACAGTGGTGCCCATCAGGCCAATGAGGGCGACGAAGCTCAGGGCTCCCCGCTGCCGCTTTCTGGGTTCTAAAAAAAAAGGAAAGAACAGCAGTTACTGGGGACGCACCACAATCACAATGCTGTCCGCATCCATGAGCCATTTCATCAAGGCACTTGGGGCTGCACGTTAGACCATCTGGTCTCCAGAGGTCAGCCAGCTCTTTAGCCTAAGCTGTCCCTTGTCAGATACTGCATGTAAAGTTGTGTGTCCCAAGAGTATTGGACTTTAAATCAAATTATAGGATAATAAGTAGAGCACCTTTGCTTCAGGATCTTTGGGAACTTTCTTCCTCTTCCAGAAGGTAAGCACAGCGAGAAGAGTCTCTTTCCCACTTCTCTCTCAGAAACACCATTTATAGTCCTGATGAGGAGCAAGAGATCTGGAGTCTGACTGCCTGGGTTTGGACCCTGGCTTTCTAGTGTACACTTAGTAGCTCTGTGACCTGGAGTCTTAATCTTTCTAAGCCTCAGTTTCCTCATCCATATATTAATACTATCTATGTCATGGAATTGTTATAGGGCTAAATGACATATGCTGAGGTCTTAGAACAGCAATAGACACATTGAAAATGTTCAATAAAAATGAGCTTTGTTATTAAATACTATTCAAAGATTAACAAAAGGGAAGAAGATCACCAGTCTTTCACCTTGGTAATCAAGTTACTTTGATAGTTACGACTTGGTTATCAAGTTACAGAAGAGACCGAGAAAATGAAGTTACGTTCTAAACAGGAAAGTACAGCAGCATAAGATTTTAAATGTGTTTCCTTGGCAGGCAGCGGTGTGTCCTTACCTCCTGTATAATAGCCGTAAGCGTAGAGCACTCGTCCAACGACCCAGGCCAAGCCCAAGCCAGAAACTACACGCTAAAATGAAAGGGCTCTGTTAGTATTTGCGTTAAAGAAACAGGCAGATTTTTATTAACATCTAGGATTGATTACACACTTCAATAAAAAGCCAACAATTTCACAGATACGGTAAAATACTCCCTACCAAAGTTAGGGTAGAATGAAACTGTTTTCGGGCAGGAAAATCAAAGCTCTGTGATCCTTCTATGAGCTGCCCACAGACCTGAGCGGTGACTGCTGGCCTTCTCCTAGGCAGGTGGGATGGCAGGAACCGCCTGGCTTGCCTTGGAGGAGTCAGTGTGCTGGAGCACAGTCACTGGGCTCCGGGAGAGGCAGGCCTCGGGGATGCAGCGTAACCGGGAGAGGAAGCCAGCGGAGAGGCAGGACCAGGGGAGGAGCGCCGTGAGCAGTGGCCTGGGCATTCCGCTGCTGTGTGCGGCTTCATCTCAGCGAGGGCCCCCAGAGGGCTCGGAGGGGCTATGCTGCGACCTACGCATAAGTGGGGGGCTCTACCAGAAAAGGCCAGAGAGGGTGCTATGTTGTGAACCCCAGAATATGCAGTCTTGGGAGAGGACAGTCTCCCCATCTCCAACACCCTTCAGAAGACAGAGGAGAAACTCATGTGAGATGGAAAATCCTTCCATTTGGCTATCCTCCAGGGGGGACAACCCATCTAGTCCGAAGGAGGCCAGGGAGGAGGAGAGAGGAGAGGTGTGAGGACGTGAGTCACCATATGCCACTGTCCTCAAGCATCTTTCCATTCGGCACTGCCATCAGTGGGGCGAGGTGCCTACTTTAGGGTTTGTATTTGTTTCCATGATTTTAGGGAATGTTAAATATTGGTGGGAGTATGAAACAACTATAAACAAACGCCCAGGCACACACGTCACTATCTAGCAGGCCTGTGCTCTCTGCCAGGTTACTCTGTAAACCCAGGAACTGCATTAGGTGCTTGTCCTCAGAGTGGTCTTAGAGTGTTTTTAGAGAACAAAGCACAAGGAACGGGATCCCGGGGTGGGAGACTGGAGCAGGATTGGGGTGGACATCAGGTAACGCCCTATCTACACAACCCAGCTAATCTGTTGAGACCAGCGAGTCCAGTCACTTGCTAGGATTGGGGCTCTTCAGAGGCACAAGAAAGAAATATCTTCTCTAAGAGAGCAGTAGATGTTTCTTCGAAAAAAATATAAGACCTTGAGGTTATAAACCATAGATGTGCCATTCCAGCAACTGACAAGAAAAGTGCAAGGCCATTCGGGTGCAGAGCAGAGGCTTGTGGAAGGTCTCAGAGCCCGGAATGTGAGGTACCAGTCCTCTGGTCACAGCCCAATGGAGGGGAAATCTGGCCCCTCAAAAGGAAAGTTTCTGTCCAAAGCAAGACCCAAACGGCAACCAGAGAACCTTGCTTTGTTTAGATAAGTGCAGTGCAGACCAAATCTAGGGCCCACAGGGCCACAGCTGCCTACAAGGTCCCGAGGTCCACCCTCGCCCCAGCCCTCACCCCTGCTCACCACCGAAGCCGGCTGCTCACTGTGCCCCAAATGGACCAGATAGGCTCCTACTCCAGGGCCTCCCCTGCTCATCTCCCGCCTGGGGGTGTCTGGAGACATGGAGGCATGTGCTCCCTACCAACTGCCCAAGCATCACCTTTGCAGCAAGGGACCCCTCCAGGCTGCCGCCTCAGCACTGGTTCCCAAGCATTCCCTTCCCACCACGCCCGCTTGTGTTTCCTCTGTGGGGTGCACCGCTTTCTAACAACTACACGTTGCATGAAGCTGAAACTCCAATACTTTGGCCACCTGATGTGAAGAGCTGACTCATTGGAAAAGACCCTGATGCTGGGAGGGATTGGGGGCAGGAGGAGAAGGGGACGACAGAGGATGAGATGGTTGGATGGCATCACCGACTCAGTAGACATGAGTTTGAGTAAACTCCGGGAGTTGGTGATGGACAGGGAGGCCTAGAGCTGACTCATTGGAAAAGACCCTGATGCTGGGAGGGATTGGGGGCAGGAGGAGAAGGGGATGACAGAGGATGAGATGGTTGGATGGCATCACCGACTCAGTAGACATGAGTTTGAGTAAACTCCGGGAGTTGGTGATGGACAGGGAGGCCTAGCGTGCTGCAGTCCATGGGGTCACAAAGAGTCGGACATGACTGAGCGACTGAACTGAACTGACGTGACATATTGGGTTGGCCAGAAAGTCTGTTTGGGATTTTCTATAAGACGTGGAAAAACACAAATGAACTCTTTGGCCAACCCAATACGTGCATTACCGTTTCGTCTGTAACCCCAACTAAGAGTCAGCGCATGAGACCAGGAGTCTGCCTGTTTTGGCCACTGCAGCAACCTCAGGTGTCCAGGAAATTTCTGTTGCTTGCATAAATACAGCAAAGGAAAACTCGATAAGCATGAACCTCCCAGGAGCAGACAGTCCTGGGTTCAAATTGACTTTTTTACTCTAGTTATTTGATCTTGAGGAAGTTATACAGTATTCAAGAGGTTTCTCATCTGTTAAAAAAAAAAAAATGGGAAAAATTCTACCTGCCTTAAGAAACTTGGTAAGAAGTAACAGAATTTAATTCTTTAAAATATGTGGTGCCAAGACATCAAAGATGTTCATTAAATGTTCAATTCCTCTCCCCTCCCCAAAGACTCAGTGAATTAAATCTATTAAATCTAATTAGACGCCTCCCTCCTCCACCCCACCCCCCAACAAAAAAACCTGTGCTGTGCGTGCTCAGTACTTACTGGGTGGTAAACACCTCCGACAGCTAGGAAAAACAAGAAGGGAGGGTACACTTCCAACCTGAAATAGATAGAAAAAAACTTTTTTTTTTAGAAAAGCACCCTACTTAAGTATGTCCATGTAAAACTAAGAACTTTTTACATTCTTACTTGCCAAGTTAGAAATCTGAGAGTAAAAATAATCATTGACTAGAGGTGGAAGGCCGGACCACTAAGATCATCCACCTTCTTTTGCTTTGCTTGGGATTAGAGGTAACTCAGAAGACAGTGAGTCCAAGACCTCAAAGCTAACAAAGTGATGAGGTGAATTAGAGTCAATTGCTTACAGAGCTCAAAGCCTTTCAGCCCCTAGCCTGGGACATTCAGCATCAGTTTAGAGAGGACTTGTTGCAAATACTGCAGAAGAGTATCATAGCATTAAAGACATGTTGGGGGAGGGATGGAGTAGGAGGTTAGGGTTAGCAGATGTCAGCTATTATATGCAGAGTGGATAAACAACAAGGCCCTATTGTATAGCACAGGGAACTGTATTCAATAGCCTGTAGAAAACCACCATGGAAAAGAAAGTAAAAAAAGAATGTAGGTATAACTGAATCACTTTGCTGACACTGAATCACTTTCCGCTGACAGCGGAAATTAACACAGCAAGGTAAATCAACTTCAATTTAAAAAAAGAAATGGAAAGGAAAGGTTATCCAGTCTCTCACCATCCTGACAACTCTTAATTTTGCTTAATATTTAATCTGTCCGTAAACACATTTTATGATACTTTTAATGAGTATCCATGATCATCATCCCAATTGCTCAGCAAACCAAGGGTTGAGGTGTAGGACAGAAAGCTCCCACTCTGAAGATGTCTCAGGGCCCAGCAGGGCCAGCACTCACGTGTTCTGGTGAGCTCGCTGAATGCAGTTGAAGATGTGCCCGTTTTCAGGGTCGGTGCTGTACATGGTAGGATACTGTTAAAACAAAGTGTGTGTGATCATATGGCCAAGTGTAGCATTCAGTGTCGAGAGTTAAAATTAGCCTTAAAGGTGATGTATCCCAAAGCATCTTCTGTCATAACTTTAGTAGATGATCATTCACTTTCTGCTTAAACACATGCAGTGAGAGAGATCTCATTCTCAGAGGCAGATTCAATCTGGGTCTATTAATATCCAGAACAAGGATGTAGGTCTGTGCCATTCAAGGTATGGAGACAGCCCGTGCCAAAAAGTCAGTGCTCTTGTTGACATGATGCCGTCACTAGTGGCTTTGAGATGCACTGCGAGCAGCAACTGGGAAACAACTCCCTCCCAAGAGTCAATCAGATGCCACATCCTTTAAGGTTCCCTTAGTAGGGGAACAGAAACAGAGTGTGTGAGAATGTTAATGGATGTGCGTATTAAAAAAAGAAACTAGACGAGAACTTTAAAAGGACTTCAACTGAGGGAGCCTAATTATAATTATTCAGCAGAGTAGACATTTGAAACTGCTCGCCAGGGACAGCTTCAGTAATTATCCCTTCTAGATTAGCTGGAACTAAAGGAAGCATTCAGCAGACCTTCCCCCTACACCTAATGTCCAAGCACAGGATAACCGCAGCGCCACATGCTCCTTTTCTACTTGGGAGACAGGAAAATCACCAGAAGACATCATTTTAAAGTGGCACACCAGAAAACAACTGCAATTTAACCCCTGCTTTTAAAATTTTATTTATCTTTGGCCACACCTCAGAGGCTGTGGGATCTTAGCTACCTAACCAGGGATTGAACCCAGGGCCGTCAGCAGTGAAAGCACAGAGTCCTAACCACTACACCACCAGGGAGTTCCCTGTCTAACCTCCTTTAGAAAATAACTCTCTTCCCAGCAAAGAGCTCCAGACAAAAGCACACCTGGTTTTTCTACAGAAGAGACAAAAGTGAAACAAGGTCGAAGTGACTCTCTAGCAGGGGCCTGTATTTCTTTCTTTGCTCCTGCCAGCCAGGGGCAGAGTTTCTAGTAAGAACAGCACTAGCGCTACTAGCCCCTGACCTCTTCCTCCGCGGCTGAAAATGGGTTCTTGCCCCCGACAAGCCTGTAAGGCCCCCACTGTGTTCCCACTCACCTCCACTTTGTACTTCTTGCGGGCCTTGGAAACATTGATGGCTAGGTGAGTAACCATCAAGAAGCTGGCAGCACCAGTTAGAATCACGAAACCATACTCCTTAGAGAGGACAGCCATCCTGACCTGTGGGAGAAAGAACACATCAGGCGGCTGCCTGGCACCGTGGGCCCTGAGCCGCAGGAGGTCTCAGGCGTGCGACGCTCTGTTACCAGCAAGAGTATCCCTACAGATCGAAAAGAGGTGTGAGTGATCTGAGGGCTCTAAGAGGTAGTCAGAGATATTAACTACCTAACAGAATCGTTAAAAAAAGGACTGAAGTCTGCAATATGTGCACAGAAATGCTCACGATCACACTCTCTTCTGTGCTGGAGTTCCTTCGATCAACACTGCATTTATGAGATTTATCTAAACTACGGCAGCAGTCATCACCACAGGATGGTCTGGCCACTAAAAAAACCAATTAAAAAAAATATTTCATAAGCAAAATGCTCAAAGATTACCAGAAGGAGACGGACAGACAAACAGGGAAGAACAGAAAGAGAGAGAGAGACAGGGTAGAAACCAGTAAGGACACAATGGCTCCAGGCTTTTGTCTGTCTGCTGGCATGGGAGACACTCTGAGGGCAGGAACCTCTAGGCCTCCCTTGGATCCTGAGGCACGTGCTAGTACAAAACAGGAACATCACACTGGAAGGGAAGGGATTATTTTTAGTGCTTCAAAAGCAGAACGGGGCTCTGAGCAGCTCTGGGAGAACTCAAGGTGTTCATCAAACCAATACTTCAAAACTAACCCCATGACATGTCCTGGTGCCTGCAATGCCACTTACTTTGAAATGCATCAAAAATGATGATATAAGCTAATATAGCAAAATATTAATTCTAGAACCTGTGTTAGATATATGTATGATAAATGTACAATTCTTTCAACTTTTCTGCATGTTTGAAAAATTTCTTAATGAAATGTTTGGAGGAAAAAAAGCTCATCTCAGCATTTTTCAGTGCTCGGCAATTTCAGCTCTTTGAGTTCCTGTCCTGCCCCAATAGGAAAGAAGGAACGCCAAGGAGAAGAAAACTTGGTGGTTGGGAAGAAGCCCTAATAATTTCAAAGTAGTTAGTGCTACCTCCAACCTCTCTGAGCTTTTATCTACAGATGTCCAAAGAGCACGGCAGCACGCAGAGAAAGAGCTGCAGCGCTTCCCAAGATCTCAGCTGCTGGCCCACCATGTGCATGGGTGCCGCAGGCCGACAGCTCCTGTGTGTGTTCTGCCTTCAGTTTAGAGCGTCCATCCCTGCTAACTGTCTGGCTACCATCTCTCCCATAAGCCTGGGAGGGTTACCCTGCTCCAAAATGTTTCTGGTCATCCTCACAAACAACCCTAGAAGATAGTATTCTCCCTATCTTCCAAAGAATGCCCAGAGGTTAAGTAATGTTCCAAAGGTCTAAAAGAGAAAGTAGCAGAGCTGGGAGTCAAATTTAGATTCAGATTAGGTTCCAATGTCCCCTTTCAATTCCACTTGGTTACTCAGAGTTGAGTAGACACTGGAGTCACAGCGTCTTTCTCAGTGTGGAATCTGGGGCCTGAAAACAGCTCAGCTCTTTAAAAGTTTAAGTTTCCCTTACATCTGCAAAATAACATTTGAAACCAAAATCCTAAAATCTGCGCACCACTCACCATGTTCCACAGTAATTCCCATGAGTTTCCCTTGCTATACTCTTTCTTCACCTGGAGCTGCTCGCTGAGGGGTACGCACCACCCTCTTCTTCGGGCCCGGGACACATTCTTGAAAGGGCCATTCCCATGACTCAGCACCGAAGTCACCACCAGGTCAGCCTCTCCTGGGCTATCACGTGTGCCTGCAGAGAGCAAGGAGTCTCTGGCTGCCCTCCAAGCTCCCCCGCCCTCATTCTCTTCTAGAGTTAGTCATTTTCAGAGTTGAGAAAATCAGCTTGGGGAGAAAGCTTTAATAGTAGATAGTAAAACAAAAATATGGAGTGAATACCAAACACCTCTTTGAAAATTAAAATAAACACAACTATCTGATTGCCCTGGAGTTCAACACATCTAGGCCAAACAGGCTATTGAAAATGAAGCTGTCTCTGACTTTGCCAAAAGCTGCCTGTTTAAGAATTACACGGTCAGGCTCAGCTGGTAAAGAATCTGCCTGCAATGAGGGAGACCTGGGTTGGACCCCTGGGTTGGGAAGATCCCCTGGAGAAAAGAAAGGCTACCCACTCCAGTATTCTGGTCTAGAGAATTGCATGGACTGTATAGTCCATGGGGTCGCAAAGAGCGACTCAACGACTTTTATTTCACTATCTGGTTTAGATCAAAGTTTCCAAGCTGAAAGTCCATTCAGACCCCAGCTTTGGATGGTGGGTTGGGCTCCCTCACAGCCTGGGGTCACCTTGCGACTTTTCAGCTTCCCCCAAATCCCAAAAGTTCCATTTTACAGAAAAGGAAATAGAGGCACAGGTAGCGAGGTGAAGGCAGAGCTAAGACCAGAACAGGCTGTAGAATTTCCCCCCAAATACTCCAGCTAGCCTTGGCAAAACATTAGAACTCATGGCCAAGTCACTGGCCTGTTTTTCTGGCCTGTAAGGGTTTGGGTAGAAGAAGGTAGATGGCAGGACAGAGAAGTGCCTTTTGAGCAGATGTTTCTACTGTAGGCAATGAACTTGGAAAGGCAACTGCTCAAAAATCTGCAATTTGGGGCTTCCCTGGTGGTCCACTGGCTAAGACTCCATGCTCCTAGTGCAAGGGACCTGGGTTCGATCCCTGGTCAGGGAACTAGATCTCACATACTGCAACTAAGAGTTCTAATGCTGCAACTAAAGATCCTATAGATTGCAACTAAGACTCAGTGCAGTCAAATAAATAGCTAATACATAAATATTTAAGAGAATCTGCAATTAGAAATTAATGTCTACTAGCGTGCTCCTCTTCCAAAATATAAATGCAGTTTCGGAGGACATGTTCAGGCAGTCACACCCTAATGAACATGCGTCTCCTCACAGGCTGCTGTGGTGATAGGTACTGGGGAAAAGGAATCTGGGTGCGGGCAAGCAGAAGCAGGAGCAAGACCTTTGAAGGACAGAGAATTTACACTAAGGGGGACCTAGAGTCTGATGCTAAAGTAGGTGGTTTGCAAAAGATGGTGCAATGGGTCAGGAAACTAAATGTGCCAGGGGCAGGAAGAGAGGTGGGGAGGCCCTCCCCAAGGCTCTCCCTGCAGGGCCCATGGACACGCCTGTGCAAGTGCAGGTGCCAAGCCTGCTCAGCCCGCCCAGACACCGCCAGGCACTTTCACCCAGTGAGGAGCCCTGCTTCACAGGCGCCGCAGCCAGCTGGTGTGATCAGGGCTAGGACAGAGAGAGCAGCCAACTGTACCAGCCACTTAGCTCCCACGAGGGAGGGCCCGTGTGTGTCCGGCATCCTCCGTGCCAAGCTCAGAGTGTGTGCTCACTGAAAGCTGTAGAATAAATGAAGCAAGCTCTAGGTGGCTTTCAAAAGGATCTCTCCACTCGGCACAGTGCCTGGCATAAAGTATGTGCCTAACCCAGGTCAGTTTCCTTTTTATCCCCCTTAAGGTATTTCCTGAAACAATGGAAGCAATTGGATGTATGAATTCCTGGAGAAAGAGATCAGAGCACAGAGAAAAGCTCTGTCAGTGTAACTGATGAAGACACAAATCCCATGGGGATTGAAAGTGCTTAGCTTGTCCTTTAAGATAAGAATCTGTTTAATTCACTTAGGGGTCAAAAAAAAAAAAAAATCTTCATTTGCCGAATCCCTATTTTCTGAGAAATCCAGGGCAGAGAGTTGGACACTCCCAGCCTGTGGTGGGTTCGGGTGTGTACACTGGGAAAGGGGAGGCACTTCGGCTCACAGTAGCTGTGTCCCAGGCAGCCCCAGCCACACCCAAGGCTGGGCCGGCCCGCAGCTAGCAGATAGCTCCCAGGGCACAGGCTTGAGAAGCTGATATGTGGAACATAAACCTCTCTTCGACAGAAGCACTCATTCGGACTGCACACCACAGTTTGTTGATTACATACCTGCTCTGTGTCACCAGCAACCCATATATCCACTCAGCAAGATAAGGTTCTTGGGGTGGGAACTCTGCCCTAGACTTTGCCTTCTACATGGTGACAGACACACATTGGTCCTTTTGGAACTGAACTTTCATGACCAGTATAGATTACTCTGTAACTGTCTTGGTTGTATAACAGCACTTGTTAATTTTCATGCAGTTTTCAAGGTTAGTCACACACCAGCTGTAAAGATTAAAATTTATGATCCGTACAAATAAAAATTTATTTAGTTACTTTGCAGTATTACATGCTTCTGGGGGTCATGTAAAACAGAACCATCTGGAGAACAGCCTGAAAGCAGGTAGTATGCTTTATACTGTTCATATTTTTAAAATGCTCAATAATTCTACTGGTAATCTATCCCAGGGTGGTAATCAGGAAGGCAAACAGATACGGTTCAAACACATTCACTTCAGCACTGTTTATAACAGCAAAAACAGAAATGGTACAGATGTCCAAACAAAGAGGACTAACTAAATAAATAACATAGCCATAAGATAGAACAGAATATAATCATCAAAAATACTGAAATATTTCAGATGGTGAAATAGATTTAAAATACAGAGTGTCAGGTCAAAAAAAGACAACAAAGTGTATATCCTAGTTTTCTCAATAATAGAAAAAATTAAAGAAGAAAATATCAAAATCATAAGCATAGTTATTTTTAGATGGCTGAATTAGATTTTCCTTTGTACCTTTCTAGAATGTCTAAAATGAGCAAATATATGCCAAAAAGTTATATAAAAAATGGCCTAACAGAAGACCTAAACAGACATTTCTCCAAAGAAGACATACAGATGGCTAAGAAACACATGGAAAAATGCTCAACATCACTTATTAGAGAAATGCAAATCAAAACTACAATGAGGTTTCACCTCATACCGATCGGAATGGCCATGATCAAAAAATCTATAAACAATAAATGTGAGACAGGACAATGATAAACAAGGGAACCCTCCTGTACTATTCATGGTAATGTAAATTGATCAAGTCACTCACTTTGGAGAACAGTATGGAGATTTCTTTA